ATAGCATCACCCATGAACTAGCGGGAAAGTTTGAGAGTTCTTCTGTGGAAAAGGTGAGCTTTTATAGTAACTGATTATTCGGTTGTTACTTAAACACAAAGGCGCCCTATAAAATGAGCCTTAGGTCCCACTGGACCATTTGTCAATCAACCGTCGTGTGATGTAGAACTCTTAGAGTCAAGTCAGCTTGAGCTACAGCTACTCCAAAGCAGTGAACAGCGGGCGCATTCCTCAAAATTGTTTTATGTCTTCATCACAATGCAAGAATTTTTGAGATTTTTATTTCCTTTCTCCAATAGAAACTGTGTGTATTTGTGGCGGTAAATTTGAGATCGAAGTAGGTGGTTTGGACGTTACCTCATGCCACCATGCTGGTGGAAGGAAACAATAGATATCTCATTAGCTCCTTTTGTTCGTCTACCAGCATTTAAATTTGAACCGCACACGTCAACGGTGAGTGACAAATGAGCCTAGGTCTTCCCAGGGAAGACTTCCTTATATAGCGCGCCTTCGTGTTTAAGCGCTTCACGTCCTCAGAAAGCGGTTAAAGCAAACTCTTGAGTAAAAAAGAAGAGGATTTGCTGGCGTGGTCCATGTCAGCCCACTCCTTGGCCACTGAGTTGCCCGCATTGAAGAGACTTTAATCTTCAAAACAGAAGAACAAGTAAAGTTGCTGGTTGGTCATTATCCTCCCAATCTGTGGATCAGGGGATCAGCTGAAAGTGGTAAGACAATTCAATTGCTGGGAAAGGAAGAATCTTTGGTAAGTTCCATTCTGGAGCAGAAAAAAAGATGAGAAAATTCTTATTGTATGCTTCAACTCCGTGTTATGTAATAAATTTATGTTACAGTAAGAGTTTGAAACCCTTTTAACAGAAAGGTTTCCTGGTCTTACAGGTATGATCAGTAACTTCCTTTATGTTAAAACATTTTCTAAGCTTATTGTTGATGTTCTTCAATTAATCCAAGCTCCTTCATCAACAGTCGAGAAAGAGATGGCTGTTTGCCATGCCCTAGACGCTCTCTTGACCTTGATTCTTGGTAGATGAAGGTGAATACTTATTTGGAGTTAGGTGGCCAGAGCTTTTTAAACTGGTGCACAAGAGCTCTCTTACACCTCATTGCAATGAAGAGACTGAGCTAGAAGATTTTTTGAAGCCTAATATGTTCTTCTGGGTTATGTATGATACAAACCAGTACCTGTACGTATCTAAAGAACAGCTTAAATTGCCCTCTGGATATCTCCAAAACAGCGCAAATCTCAAGGAAGGGCTTTGTAACACAGGGGAGATTTTCGAGCTGTCAGAAAAGTACTTTAAATCGTTGATGACTCCTGAAAATGGCATTACACTCAGAAGATAGCTTAGCAATTAAATGGGATAGTTCTCTGGAAAGCAGAGTGGTCTCAACCCACTAAGGTGCCAACACAATCAGCTCTCCTGTGAAATATCTACAAGAATTGTTCAAGAAAGGGACATTAGTATTCTGGTTGAAACAGTAGAAAAGAGAACTCAATCAGACACACACTTTCCAACATAAGCATTGAAACCCAAACTGCAGACAGTTTGGTTGCAGAGAATGCCAACGAGATTGTGGTGGAAAGTATTAGCCACCTCAAGGGCCTTGAATCTAAAGTGATCATCTTGTATAATCCTCCATATGAAGATGATTCAGGAATCAGTGGATGCACTAAAGAGTTGCTCTACACTGCAGTATCCAGGTGTTTTTGTTATCTCATTATAACTACACAGGCTGGTTGCAGGGCTTTATGGTCAGATCAAGGGATTCAAGAGATAACTGGCAATACAGCACAACAGGTTCCATGACAATTTCCAACCCGGTCACCTTGGGACAGAAATTCAACACTTTTTTTCACAACAGATACAAACTTTCCCAATAGGTGCTACCTCCAATACCTCAGGGGTTTTGATGAAATGACCCCATATCCCATGTATGATCAAGCCAAGAACATTTCAAGCCATTCCAATTCCCAATGGACATTGATACAGAGTGACTCACTAAATGTGGCCAATCTAAGTTGTTACACAACCTTTCTGGTGTGGAGGTAGTTAAAGGTGATCAACCAGTGCAAAATTTAACTTTTACTTGTTATTAATGTATTCATGACTTCTGGCTGTTTGATTGCCACTGTACATGTTGACAACCAAAGTGGTCAACAGAGTCAAAGGCATTGAGGTTTATTAATTTGTGCTAACTATTATTTAATATTTGACATGTTTTTTCAATAATTTGATTGGATCATTGCTTTTGATTCAGAATTGTTCAACCATATATTAAGCATTAATGGTTGAGAACAATGCAGTACACAGCCCTGGTTGTTCCTGGGTTTAGACTCAAGTTGTGTGTTTTTTGGGAAATGTTATAAAATTAATGTCAAAGAGATATAGTTTTCCTTGTATTTGAAGTTTGCATGTTGGGGTAGAAAGTGGCTGCCCTAAAAAAAATGAAAACCTACAGCCTCAGGCTTTGGTGACCACCAAACCTAAAGATTTTACGGTTACTTTTTTCCTCTGACCAGGGTTCGTACAGGTCATGGAAAGTCATGGAATTTCAAAATTTCATTTTCCAGGCCTGGAAAGTCATGAAATTTTGGTGTGGGTCATGGAAAGTCATGGAAAAGCAATAATTTATGCTCTCTATAAGTGAAAGGCAATAAGACCAAAAGTTGAAAAGTTAACTGATGAGTCCAAAAATCAGATTTAATTTCATTAGGAATAAACAGAAGCACGCATTGTGAGAATGTTTGCAAACAGGTCATGGAATCTTTCAAAAGGTTATGGAAAAAGTCATGGAATTTTAACAGTTCAAAAGTGTACGAACCCTGTCTGACAGCTGTAAATTCTCTCTTTCTCTTATTTTTTTTTTTATTACAAGTCTTTTTACATACAGTTTCTAGTATTTAAAACTAATATAAGACTGAGAATAATGTGGACACTTGTAACATTTATGGAAAAAATCCAAAGTAAAAAAAAAAAAAAAAAACAATCAGGTCTATGCATGTGTCACAAAACTTTAATGCAAACAGCAACAGTAATAATTTGTGGTTTGAATACTACTTGCATCTGCTGAACTTTTTGGACCTCGAGGTCGCTCGATGCTTACCGTACGCACTCTGCCTTAAGTTTTCCTTCGTTTCCTTTTTTCCTTTCTCACTCTCAACGGGAGTTTGAATAAATATCGTATGACAAACGTGAAGCGATGGTAGATGAGGCCCAATATGTGGAGGGGAGCCTGAGTATCCCAGTGATAATTTGTGGTTTGAGTACTGCTTGCATCTGCGGAGCATTTTTGCGATCGGTTAGTACTCAAAGGACCGTTAGCCGGTCAAGTCGCCTGAAAGTCCTCTCGCCCGAAATTTTAGTTATGTCGCCTGCAAAAAAAAAAAAATGCTTTCAAGATCAGACTTACATACTGTAAGTAGACTGATTATCTATATAGTAAGACTGATATAAGTAGACTGATTATCCATATAGTAGTTTGCGCTATATAAATGTTAAATTGTTGTTGAATTGTTGTTGATAAGGATTAAAAATAACGAAATTAGATTTAGATTTAGATAATAAAGTTGAGAAATCTCTATCACCAGAAATAAAAGCGCTCTATGTTTCCGACAGCACCCTGAAAATGATGAACAGAAAAGAAATATGTTTTACTGACGACTCTAAAAGCGTTGTTTTTTCCTCACAACAAAATGAAGCGTTGTTCTCTTGGTATGTACTCGTTTCGTACTCACGGACGTTTTGTAAACTTGAGGAACTTAATCTAACAGCGTTGTTCATTTCTAACAACAAAGGGAAGTGTTCGTTTCTAACAACAAAATCAGGCGTTTTTCGTTTGGTACTTGTTTTGTACTCACAGATGTTTCGCAAGCTTGAGAAACTTTATCTTGGTTTCTGACAACACCTTGAAGACTTCAACTACAGAAAATCGAACATATGGTCAGAATTAGAATAATTATGTTAAAGTAACGACTCAAACGCTTTGTATATGTCTCGCTTGAAATTTGAAATACACCATAAGGGTGTTTCGATCGATCGGTACCTTCAGTGTGTTTGCAAGTGATAAAAATGTCAAGCGACTTGATTTTTTCCTTTGAGCGACATGAAATTGGTTCTCGGCGACATGACTTTGGGCGAGATGACTCCCATGCAACTTGACCGTAAACCAAATGACTTGTCAGAATCAAATGTTACCGTTTTACTTTTACTGAAGTAGAAATAATTAGTGATTGTCCTATACTACAGTGAACCTCGCACAAAACAAACTTAAGTACCCTTTTTAGGAGTACGTTGAAGAAATAACGGGGACGAACAGGGGGCAGGGGGAAAATCGGAGTAAACGAAACGCAAAGGGTGACAACACCCGTAAAGAAAAGAGCGGAAGGAGACGATAGTTTCTCGTTGTGCGTTTTCTGATCCCATGATAAAGGAACGTACATCTTTTGCAACCTATCTGACCATGTGACGCGAAAGAAAATTGTGGTTGCGACTTGTTCCGGAGACATGCAGAGTAATGTCATAAGCTTCTTGGAGTTTTGTGCGTGCTGAAAGTGTGACGTAGCATTTCGCGTCACTGAGTTGCGTGTTTATGACGCTAAGTCGCACAGACTGTAGAAGAGATAGCTGGAATTCCTCACAACCTAAGTTGCAAGGGTTTTTTTTTCTTGTTAAGATATGGGTGTATCTCTTTCACGTTCATCAGAACGAACGGCTGAAGCGAAATATATTCATTCTATTGACACCAAAGAGTCAAGTGGCGAGAATGATGAATTTTTAAATCAATGTACGAAAGGAAAAACAATCAAGGGTAGTGAAAGCACCTCGAAACGGACTGAAACTGCATTTTTTCAATTCAAAACAACGAAAAGCAATTGTTGGGATACATTCGATAGCCTTGATACCATAATCTCCAGGAAATCTGTCCCGTTTGCTGTCCTTCCAGATGGCAATCCTCAAGCTCTACCCAGCTCGGCGGTTGGCGAAGAGGATATCACAAGTTTTCAGCCCAAGGGTGGAGCTGTCACACAAAGCACAAGCGGTGATAAGTTCCTTGAAGATTTAGATGACAAGTTTTCAACAGAGAAGAACGTGGAAGAAATAACGGGGACGAATAGGGAGAAAACCGGAGAAAACGTAACGCAAAGGGTGACAGCACTCTTAAAGAAAAAAGCAGAACGAGACGATGGTTTCTCGTTGTGCACAAAATCATGGGAAAAATGGCAGGTTGGTGGGCACGTCGATGATGTACACAAGGAGGCCCGCCGTAGCCCTCGAAGGCTAGGAAATACTGCGCATGTCTCGGTGCCTCTATCTCACAGAAAGAGCGCAGATGGAAGAGGAACTAAACGAGAAAGCGTACCAGACCTGACCACGGCACGACCCCATAGTGAAACTGAAATAGTTTGCCCCAGTAATGATTTCGGGGAAACTAAACGGCAAAGTGTACCAGACTTAACAATGGTGCGAACCGATAGCGAAACCGGAACGGTTTACCCTTGTGACAATTATCAAGTTGAGCCTTCATCGTTCCACTCCTGAAAAATCCTCCGACCTTTCTCGAATTAGAGAACGTAAATTAAGAAATGCTTGAAGCTGATTCATATAAGTGATGTAACAGCATCATGAATTATAGGAATTTAGTTGGTTTTTGCCACTCTTAGTCTTAGTCCTTTTAAATCCTCAACCTGTTCCCTTCGTTTTTGCAATTCCATGGGAAGCCCTCAGTTATTTACCCAAGTTTCCCCTTCCAATACTCAGGGGCTCAGTTTCAAATATAAAACTCAATTCTTTTGTTACCCATTTCCAGCGCTCCTCTCCTGTACTGAAGAGAAGGGTCTCGAGGGTAAAATAACACTTGAACTTATTGCACCACATCCAGTTTGGCCATGATAAGCAAAAGCCTTGTACTCGAGGCAAGCTATTTAAACTTACTGCCTTTTTTTCAAGTCGATGAAGTACACGTTTTCTTTTCCCCAATATGTGGACCCACCACTTTTCTTCCCCGAGAAACCGGTTACCAAAGCACGCGAAGGCGGGGGGGAAGCACGTTAACGCCTCAGGTTGCCTCTAGCGTTACTTATTTGCCAAGCCGCTTCTCGTATACTTCTAAAGCTCATCCACATAAAAGAGATGCTTACTTAGCAAGCTCTATTGATTACCTGAAAATATTTTACTGAAAGTAAGGGAACGCACTATGGAGCCTGACTTCGGAAATCCAGTTTGGAGATTTTTCTCTTCCTCTTCCTCTCTTTAAGACATGTGTGCTCTAAAAATGTACCATAGTATAGTCACCAACAGGCAAGAAAGAATCTGCTCATAACCCTATTTCTCTTATGTATAGGTGCTAAAGATCTATCGATAACCTGAAACAATAGAAATACTTTCGGTGAAATTCATGTAGATAAAACCAAAATTAATCTTTTAATTCATCATTGACTGCTCTGTACAACAACAAGATGCCACTTATTTGATTTGTTGATGTTAAATTTCTTTATTCGAGGTTTTAAGAATTCAAATGGACAGATACAAAGTGTCCAATTTTCTTAACACATTTTGAAGCCTGTATTCTCACAACTGTCTTCATCTATCTTAGGATAAAAACTATTTAGTAACATGAAAAATTATTTTGGTTAACAGATTGGTTTATTGATTACCATCAAAATAAAATGCATCAAGGGGAAGGGATAACTTTTACACCACCATTATACTTGTAAAGAGAATTACCACAAATAACCTGCACCACAACAAATTTTTCTCTCTAAATAACTTCTTAAAGTGGCAGCAAATGAACAAGAAAAGTAGAACATTAACCAAAAACAAATTAAAGATCATTCATCACACACTGTAAGCTTTTCAAGGTCATACACCTGAATATTCACAACCATGGTGCAAGGAAATAAACTGATTGTTGAACCCCTTCAAGGGCTGTTTTCCTGTCTTGCCTGGCATCCGAGGCACTTATTGTTTTGGAAACCCCTTATTTCAAAGACAAGAGCCCTCGGGCACCTGGTTATTCCTCCTCAGTACAATAACTTCTATGTATTATATAATTTTCCATATTCTTGTCATCTGTACCTTAACAGTGTATTACAAATAGAAGTTAATTAAATATTGATCACTCAGAATCAAAAGGTTACCTAGACAAAGATAATGCACAATACTATCATCAACCCATAATAAAGCAAGAAACTGATTGGCCAGAGAAACAGTTTCCTCAATGAGTGATCCCAAAAGTTAAGCTAAAGAACCAGAATCAATTAGTATTTAAATATTCCTTACATTAGGTGGGGGGAAGTAAACGGATTAAGCAATGTTACACTGAAGCACCTTTCAAAGGGAGAATAACTAATCAAGTTTTCAACATTGATTACAAATTGTGACTACTAAGCTATCCTTGCTGTAATCATGCTCACATTGGAAAAATGAGGCAATTGATTGAATTCAGTATGACAGCCCACTTGCAACAAAAATGTACATGTACTTTAAACACTATGGCAGCTGACCAAAACAAGTAAATTAGTAACCACAAAAAATAGGAATATTACTTTTTCTATTTACTATACTTGAAATAATTTTATAACCTTGAGTACAGCTGCTAAAAGAATTCATCCACAGTCTCACTGACACCAATTAGAAGTTTAACTACACAAATATCTCTCTTTTTACTGAGCTCCATAGACACTCTCATCACTGTATGCTATGTAGAGGAAGAAGTCTTCTTCATGATGTTCTTGGTAGAGCTGACCCATTGTGGCACTTGTGGGAGGAATGACATTGTTCACAAAAAAGAACAAGGCATCTTCAGGTCTGAGATGAATTCTCTTCCGGATAAGGAAGTAAAACTGTCCAACTATGGAAGAAAAAAGTAAAAAGATCAATATAAGTTTTCATATGACCACTTTTCCCATCACAGAATTACATAACTTTCCAAGACTCATGATTGGTGTTAGTTCATTAGTAATCTGGAAAGAAACATCAAATCAAGCTGTTTATTTCCTGTGTCCTTCCAGGCCAAAACTGCTTACCCCAACTAAGTACATGCCTTCTTAAGCAGACTAACTTGACTAAAGGATCTTACTTTGCTTAGTCAACAAGTTTCACCCACACACAATTGTAACTTGTAATGTATGAAACTTTCACAAATTTGTGTGATTTGGTTTCACAAAAGTAAAAAAAAAGAGTAATTCCCATATTGCCAACTTATGAACTGTTTAGTAACTACAACTGTAATCATAACTAAAGCTGATAAGGGTAATCATATCAAAAAAATAATTATGTTTAGTAGGAACAAAAGTCAATCAACAATCATACTTATTCCAATTTAAACTGAATATTATGATTAACGTACCTGTCAGATCAGAAGGAACCAGATATTTCTTCTTATCCAAGTCACCTATCCTTGCTTTTGGTGCTTTCTCAACAATTACCTAGTAAAAGTGTGAAAAAAAAAATTTGACACTGTCAAATCTCTAAGACTGGTGAATTTGGAGTGAAATTAATATCCTCAATGTGTTCAGAGGAAATTTGTTTACCAATGCATGCAAAGGTTAGTATCAGCCTAAAAGCATTTCAAATAAGTTGATAATTTAAGCTTGTTTATGAACAACTGAAATTCTCCCATACAGAATTACACAGAAATTCACCATTGGTGCACATGACCCTTCCTGCCACACTTGTACAATCCCATAGAAAACCATAGTGAAAGCTGAGGTTTGCAGGATCAGACAGGTTGACGTGAGCCCATCAGCAAAAAGCCATCTGGCCTTGCTGCCCTAACTTTGCTTTGTTGCTAATACTCAAAGGAAAACAGCAGTGAGAAAAAAAATCCCATTTTTCAGGAATTGGGAGTTTCTTGTTCTGATTTGAAAAACAAAGGAAAATTTTTAATTGCAGAAATTCTTTTGTGCTTGCATGGCTGTATGTGCCTGTCTATCACCTAATTTGGTTGAAATTTTCAACAATTAGCAGTCATATAATAAAATGCTCCCTGAGTTTGGTTGGGCAGGACAGAAAAATATTTGGCTTTCAGCCATGAGGCAGGGACCTTGTTACACTTGGTCTGTACATCATGACCACAAGCCAAACATTTTCCCATCCAGCCCTTCCTCTCAGTCAATAAGTACATTTATTATCCAACTACATTTCCTAGAGTACAAATAACGCCATAGTCGAGTACAAATATCACGCGGTATTTGTACTCTAGAGTTCTGGTAAAACAGGTTTTCTCGCATCGTGCAAGCAAAGAATTGGACTGTAGTTACGAATAAAAAATGGCAGACAATTTGAATCATATTTCTGACAACGAAGAGTCAGAATAGCTGGCAAATATAGATCCAAGTTTAATAGATGAATCGAACAAAGAAAAACAGCTAGACGACCAGGAAATCTCTTCATTTATTGGAGAAAATAGAAACAGCAACATGGCAACGCACCAATTCCACTCCGCTTTGCATACTTCCGTCACGCACTCCTCGTAAATAAATATCCACGAAATTCTCCCACACTTTAAAGGAGGCCACTCATAACTTTATTTTAACAGATATCGTCGTGCCTTTCTAGTGTTATTTCATAAATATATGATTAAGAGTTTTGAGGGCTCCTTATGCTATTTTAAGTTCAGCCATCAACGTTTGCAACCATTATTACTTAGTCGATATAAATAACTTTTTCCATACTCTTAACAATTTATCAGGAATATCCCAGAGAATTGTTTCGCGATTTTTTTATTTAGAAGACAGTCTTGACACGCGTCAGTAAATCATTCGAATCAAATAACTTTCTAACACAATCCTAATGCATTTTTAACAAAAATCACTTGATTAAATAGTTGTCAGGCAAAGGTACCGAGTGAAGAAACAGAAGCTTACGTGTGTCGTCAGCTATTTCAGTTTAAATGAGGAAGACAGCATCAAAACTTGGCTTACACAACCAAAATCTGATGATCTCAGATACAACAGCTCAGTGACTTAGCTACGGCGTTTAGTGACTTTTCTGAGAAAGGGAAATAACAACATTTTTCTACGTGGACATATAGAAATACCATGACGTCGTATTAAGATGTGTCGCTGACGCCATGTTTATTTCTACAAATGATAATAAACTTTCGCTTGAGAGACAACTTCACTTTCTACAAAGTTACACAGCTCATAAAACAGCATCTGAGCGTACGTAAGCTTTCTCTTCAAGTAATACTCTTTGACGGATCTCAGGAATAAAAATCATGAGCTAACGGTAAGTTTCCTGATCAGTAGCCAGCCATACCTACCGGAACTCTGTCCGGATACTTCTTCCGAATTTTCTCTCCCTCAGCCCGCCGTTTTTCAAAAGGGTGCTCTTCTTTGTATTCCCACTTCATCGATGCACCTTTCAAATGCTATCTGTTTTCCTGATATGATACCAAAGGAGAAAATATACGCGTTTTACTTCCGAAAGCACAACAAAATGGCGCTAAATAAGGTCCTTAGTCGATCACGTGATGTTGTGGTCCCTCGATTTCTATGACGTAGCGAAAGTTTGGCATAATCAGAAGTATTATGGGAGATTATGACTGGAACCGGAAGCCGAACTACTCTACCGGAAGTTGGCAGAAATCTGAAAATTTTTCATCTTTACCATGCATCATAGCTTTGTGCGAAAGGGAGTTAATAATCTAAAGCGCTAACGCTATGTTTCTGTGAGCTACTGGCAAACACCAGGATCAAAACTAAAAGACGCAAAAAAATTCGTGAGCAGATTCCTAGTTGAAAATAATTTCCTTCTGAAGCCCTTGATTCACATGAGTCACGTACCTTTATTTAGGTCGTTACGCTGAAGATCTAGCCAGATCACTATTCGTAAATGGTATATTACTGTCACATTAGAACTTTTCTAGATCAACTGATATGAAGTGAGATGAGATTGATGAAGGAGAGTTAGGATCAAGATCACAAACAAATTGAGCATTTTGACTAAACAGCTATGGGTCTAAAAGAACGAACTAAACCATTTATTACTCAAGGTAACTGAATTTCTATACGACGGCCTTGGGAGGAGCAGTTTCTGATCATGTTAAAACACGATCCTTAGTTTAAAAGTTGTGGACTTAACAGCGTCCGGTATATGTCAATCATTACACCAATGCTGTCTCTTATAGTCGAATCTGGTAAGCGGCACTGCACTAAGCGGTCACCTTGTATTAAACAGTCCGTGTTTGTGTCCCCTTAATCACTGTAATTTTCAACTCTATTGAGCAGTCGCCTCGGCGAGCGGTCGCGGTCATTCTTAACTGGGCCTCAATGACCTGTTTTTATTGTATTCCACCTCTATTGAACGGTCATTTCAAGCTGAACCACTCAAACAAAACTAAGAATAATCTTTCAAGTAATTTTTAATCCATGTTTCTCTCCCAAGATCAAAGTATTTCAATTGAGCAAGATTCTGGGGATCCATTGAGAATCCATCCTAAACTGTGGAACTTGTATCAAGCGTTCAACCTGTGCATCCACCATACCCCAGTAGGTGGCAGCGGCCGGATAATTCAGTTTTGACTGTATTATTCGCAGTCACGCAAACCGGGGACGCATTCCGGTGAGGTTTTCTATAACTGCCTCGAATTCTCCCCTCCCCGTTATATGTTTGTAAGCCAATGCAAAGTAAACAAGGAGAAACATTCCGCTATTGCTTGATTATGATTATTTTTTGAAGCACTTTATTCTTCATCTTGTTTTAATTTGTGACAAACTGATAGAAAAACCAGAATATAAGAAACGTACCGGAAATCTCGTCTACTTAATTAATGAAGGAAATATAGATCTAAGGCTACAACTACGAAAGACTAGAGAAAAAAAGATAATTCACAGGTTCACTAGATAAATGAATTATGAAAAACATTTGATAATAAAAATTAACGGTAAAAAACTACGACGTTTCGAAGTCTGCATGACCTCATTATCAAGTAAAATGTTAAAACTGATGTAAAATTGTAGCTCAGAGATTATATACAAATAAAATGTGATAACTTCATTGGAATAATGAGCGTTCATTGTTATTGGTGTTTAGCATGTCCGATCGTGCAGTATATGTTTAAATAAATACTTTTGCACGTATTGAGTCAGACTGCGTGTTTAGCTTTGGTTTTTGTTCGCGAATGAATAGCATTTCGTGAATTAGGCAGTCCATTTTTCCGCGGCATTTCTTGAGAACGGAAAACATTTCCTCTAGGCTAGTGGACGCTACACTGTGGGCTTCTTTCAGATGCTTGCCAATGACAGAGGCTTTATGTTCTTCTATGCGTTGATGAAGATGGCGTGTGGTATAACCGATATAATCCGCATCGCACGAATCACATTTAAAAGTGTAAACAACGCATTGGTGGTTAATTAAAGCGGGCTTCTCTTCTTGTATCTTGAGCTTTCCCTCGATCTTACGACTCGTGAAAACTGGTTGTAGGTCAGTTCCGATTTTCCGGCCAAGATCTTTCAGCTGATGTCTTACTGTGTCGGCCGATTTTTGGTCTTTAAATGGTAAAGTTATTCTGACAGGTTTTTGTGTAGCCGCGTCAAGTTCAGTTGGGGTTTCGTGACGGCTTTGGATCGTAGAACTCGTGTACCAGGCGATAGCTGAGTTGATGAGTTTCACTGGGTACTTAAGCTTAGTAAACATCCGCTTGAGATGCTGGCATTCCTTCGTAAAAGATTCTTTCGTTGATGACAGGCGGTAAGTTCGGTAAAGCCTCTGTCATTGGCAAGCATCTGAAAGAAGCCCACAGTGTAGCGCCCACTAGCCTAGAGGAAATGTTTTCCGTTCTCATGAAATGCCGCGGGAAAATGGACTGCCTAATTCACGAAATGTTATTCATTCGCGAACAAAAACCAAAGCTAAACACGCAGTCTGACTCAATACGTGCAAAAGTATTTATTTAAACATATACTGCACGATCTGACATGCTAAACACCAATAACAATGAACGCTCATTATTCTAATGAAGTTATCACATTTTATTTGTATATAATCTCTGAGCTACAATTTTACATCAGTTTTAACATTTTACTTGATAATGAGGTCATGCAGACTTCGAAACGTCGTAGTTTTTTACCGTTAATTTTTATTATCAAATGTATTTCTAAACATTCTCTGATTAGAAT